GCGCCTTTGGCCTCGTCCTCGGCCGCCTGGCGCCGCCGCTTCTCGCGCCGCTCGTCCAGCTCCTCGTCCCGCAGCGCCTCCAACCGCGCCAGGATGGGCACCTTCACCACTGCGGGGGGAATTTGGGAATTTGAGGGGTGGGAGGTACCCAGGATGGGCACCTTCAGCACTGCAGAGGTAATTGGGGGTCTGGGGGCTGCCCGGGGGTCTCACCGGACACACAGTCGTGCATGCTCTCGGCGTCCAGGACCTTGCACTCCTCGGTCCAGCGGGTCARGGCCGTGGGGATGCTGGACAGGGTCCCTGGGGGGGACATGGGGGCTTTGGAGGCTGCAGAAGCCACGCCCCCCACGTGGCCACGCCCCCTTTGCACAGGACCACGCCCATAGCAATCTCAGCCCAGTCATGCCAGGGCTGTCAATCAGCCAAGCTCCACCTGCCCTGGCTCCACCCCTTCCCTAGTCTTCTCTCTCTTTAGCACCACCCCAAAAGTAACTTGTCAATGTGGCCCCACCCTTCACAGACTCCACTCTCACCACAGGCCACACCCTCAGACTACACCCCCGTAGATCCCACCTTCTTTCTATAGGTCCCACTTTCTCCCTCCTGCTCCTTTTCTTAAACTCCCCAAAACTCCTGAACTTGGAGGGGTGGAAGTACCTCCCGTCCCCAGACCACACCCTCTCAAACCCCACCCCCTTCCCTGCAGACCACACCTGTTTAAGCCCCACCCCTCTCCCACAGACCATTTAAGGCCCACCCCCTTTAAGCCCCACCCCTCCTCCATCCCTGTAAACCCCTTCCCTGCAGACCACACCCCTTTAAACCCCACCCATTTTAGCCCCACGCCCTCTTCTAGGTCCTATCTTCTCTCCATCCCCATAAACCCTTAATTCAGGGAGGTTATATCTGATCCCCCACTGACCACACCCCTTTAAGCCCCACCCCTTCAAACCACACCCATTTAGGCCTCACCTCTTCAAGCCCCACCCCCTCTCTAGCTCCCATCTCCTACAACCCCTACACCCCTAATTCGGGGAGGTGGCACCTGGTCCCCCAAGGACCACACCCATTTAAGCCCCATCCCATTAAGCCCAACCCCTTTAAGCCCCGCCCCCACTCGCCTGCCTGGCTGCCGGCGCTGCCCTGCTCGTGGAAGAAGTCATCGAGCAGCTCATCATCCGAGCGGGCGATGATGTGCACRTCCTCGTTGCCCACCAGCAGCCG